TGGAGAAACGTGTTGACTTGCTGCTGTTGTCTACTTACTTGCCCGGGGGCTCAAACAGGATAAACTGTATTCCGTCCTTCTGTCTGTACTGACAATGTATTCTGTCTTTCGAACAGCTGCCAAGACGGCCTTGCATAGCTTCATGCAGTCCAAGGAGGCCAGCCCGAGAGAGAAGGACCTCTTCCGGAGTGTGAAGGTCAGTCATCCTCTCTGTCCACCTGGGGCGGAGCAGTCATTCCCTTTCCACGAGAGGAGGTGGACTCCCGTGTCAGATCCGGGGGTCTAAGAGAAGAAGGGCTGCTGTGCATTTGTTTCCTGTGTCCAGTTTTTGGGATAAAGAGTGTGTGAGATCTCAAATTTGAGATAACCACCTTCTTTTACATAGGAAAATTTGGGAGGTGTGTGTTTATAAATAAGTATCAAAGGGGCTTGCCTTAAAAGGAAGTGATAGTGACAATAAATGGGACTTCCAGGTAATACACGGGATAAAAAGGTGTCCCATTATGGCTTGTGTGCCTCCCCCCCCATCCCTTCCAAATAATTACTCCCTGGACACGTGACTTGACATCAGGCCATTTGGGTGGGATTGACTTTGTCCCTCTTTGGACGCAACAGGTGGTGCAGCTGGCAGGGGCCGCCCGTTTGTACCTGGGAAGGCTTTTTGGAAACTCATCTGACCGGTGCTTTAAAAGCCGAATGGGCGGTTGTATGTTCCTGAACACCATTCGGAGCGCCGAGATGGGGATTTGCCTGCAAAGCTTGAATCGCTTTGAGCGGCTGCTCTGGATTTCACTGTTTTTATACTCGGTTTTATTCTTGGGTAAAAACACGTGGATGATCTCGATGCAAACTCAGAATACAGTGTGTGTGTGTGTGTGGGGTGAAGCTAAGGCATGGGGCCAAAATGTTCTGTGACTACAGTTGCGAAGTGTGTAAAACTGGACTCTGGCAGCTGCCTCCCTTCCTTTGCCATCAGAAAACTGTATCATTTCAGGTCCCAATGGCTGCCAAGAAGAGTGTCTTTAGTACATATTCCTTATTCATCCGTGTTCCTTCTCCTCTTTCCTGCCTTATACAGTAAGGGCATAAATTTTCCCTCTGCCCTGATGGAAGTATTATTAGAATTTTGGATTCTTCAAAGAAGCCCTGACACCCTATTTTGCAGCCAATGTCAAGTTCGCCTGTCATTTATCGCGTGTCCCTTGCATCTGTCCGGGTCTCCAGTTAGCAGATCGGCGTTTTATTCCGTGGATCTAATTAATATCCCTGTGTGGTTCTTTTGTCCAGGATACAGATCTGTCCAGAAACATTCCAGGGAAGGTGAAGGTATCGGCCCCTAATCTCCTGAATGTGAAAAAGAAGTGACACCCCCGCGGCCGCTAGCATCGCCACCTGCACTTTTGAACTGTCTCACCGGAGCCCCTTCCAGTTTTGTTAATAAAGTGCTGTTGTAGCTGTCTGGAAAGCACTCTGGTGATTTCGTTGCACATGCCATGACAATAAAGTGTTATTCTGTTCTATATTCTGTTCTTAATCTGCAGAAGGCGAAGTAGAGCATGGTTTCAAGGGAGCTCTCCCGTGTTTGCCCCGAGAGCGGACTCAAATTTGAAAAGGGTTGAGACTCCCCATACAGAGGTGACCAAAGGCCGATAAAAGA